GGTAAAAAATATAGTTCTGTTAATAATTTATCTTTACAAGACTGATTAGTTTACAAAAAAAAAGCTTTTATTTTTAATCGTTTGTAGTTTTATTACGATATAGTTACGGTTATGAGAAAAAATCGTCTCCAAATCGCAATTCTCAAGAATCTCCCATTAAGTAGTACAGTAAGTCTGGGACGAGATACGAAATTGGCTCGTCCGGTGGGCTTTTCTGCGAAGGAGAATACGCGTACGTATAATTGAAGACACCTTCGCGCAGACCGATTGTGAGACGAAAAAACATCTTCCGGGCGACCAGCCATTTGCGCCGACGACTGTCGTCTCTTCGGGTCGTAAAATGTCACGTTGCTAATTCGCGGACAGTCCCACGCTAATTGTATGTATGAGAAAGCAACGGGTCGGGAAGGGGAAAGGAGGGAGGAAGACAACCCGACGCAAAAGGGATCCCCTTGTTCAGCTCGGGATGACTAAGAGTGACATGAAAATGGAGATGGACGCCGTTCCGGAAAGAGAATCGGACCGTCCGCCCTTTTTTGCGCCTGCCGTAGACCACCCACGCACTTTTATCTGCGAACCGCTGTTATTGCTAATGCGTTATTCATCCGCGAATGTGACCTCGTATATGTATATGTATATGTATATTATTGTATCGCGTTAAAACAGAGTCGTAGGCGCTACGTTTCATCGACTAATACCACGATTATTATATACTTTACATAAATATCGCAGCTCGCGTGAAAAATTAATTTGATTAATGCTCCATAATACACTTCTACGCACGTACTGAAATAATGTAAAAAATATGTAAAATTTATTTCTGCGGAAAGAGTATCCGTGTGTGAAAAATCCTGATGTTCTCTTTCGTCTAACGTTCTGTCAACGAAAGGGCGCGCGAATTAATTTCGCTCGTTACGACGAGATGTCATACAAATAAGCAATTACAAATCGAGACGTGAATCGATCCTTTTCGTTTCGACAACACCGTGCCCGCAGCTCGTCAATGTAATGCAGATTGACACGTTACACATTGGCATTACGCTCGAAATCCAGCCGTTAATAATGATCGTCCAGTTCACCCTTATTCACGAGAGGCGAGTGCTACGTGTAAAACGTAATCAACAGTAATGGCGCCGGGGAATATAGAGATCCATAATTAGCTCTCAAGTGTTGACCCTGCACGCCGCGTGTGCAAACTTTAGTGAGATTAATCCGCGAGAATGTTTACGGAGATTTTATTTATGGTGGAAACACATTTCCGTAAGCTTTTCTGCCGGAATTTTTGGTTCGTAAGTTCTAATTTGAGCAAAGCACGAAAAAGGCCAAAAACTACTCTGCTTTTTTTTTTTTTTTTTCATCTGCCAGTACACACGTGAACTCAAAATTCATATTATATGGTTTATAACAAATGTCGGGATATTATTTTCATTTAAACATTTCATTTTACCGTGGGATTATGAAATATTAAATTCAATGAATATTGAATATTGCGCGATATTATTATAAAATACATACATATATCACATATATATTTTGAATATATTAAATAGCTAATAACTGGTCAGGAGTTTCCTCGTGTTTGCGTTATTCATTAGTTAACGTAGCATTACGGCAAATATTTATTATTTCTATTAATTTTCATAATTTAGAGAAACATTAACATATATATGTACATGTATATTTCACATGTAAAATATTTCTCCCATAACTTTCTAACGCTCTCCCTTTTTCTAAATCAATACTCGCATTTTATTCCGAAAAGTGATTGAAATATTGATCTCGATTAAAGCGTACACGAGCCGCAAATTTCGTTTCGGACTTCTTGCTCACGCAGAATTGTAATGTATAATTCAAATAGGTGCGGTTCGGCACGTTCGAAAGTTGGAACGCGGCGAGCTAATATCGAGAGTTTCGAACTATCCGCGGCTCCGTTTTTCCCCCTTTCGCTTCTCCATCCCCCTAGCCACTGCGGACCGCTCTTATTAAATTTGTTTCAATTCGCCCGCGTTACTTATTGCATTTCTACGAGCGCGCTGCGTCAAACTCGCTGATCGATAGCCCGCACTTTGCTGATAGATATGTGCGATATGTCGCAAACCGGATTTTCGCATATTACGCGCGTTTCCGAAATCGCATTTTATACATAAATCACGACTGTAAAACCGCATCAATTTAACGCGGATATGCAAACGTTTAAACAGCGAAACGTTTCACGCTCGCCCGCGATTCGTGTTTACGATCCCATAGTAATTCTATCAAGCAACCGGGATATAACTGCGGCGTAAAAGAGGGCTTAAAGCGACGCGCAAGAGTTACAACTTCTTCGGGAGCGCAGTGACGAGGCGGGAACGCTCAAATTTCTTCAACGCGTCTCTCAAAGTAGGACGCCATTCCGGATTACCATTTAAATTCTTTCGCAACCGTCTCGCGAAGTTTCACGAGAGTCGCGCGAACCCGCCCGCGTTAATTTGTCACGGCGCGAATACAACGATGGTCCAACAACCCGCCAAACTTGTAATCCTCCTCGAGGACCGTGATTTAGACACGGAACTTTCCACCGTAGAGTCCACTCTTTAAATCGTTCTTGTCTTCCTCCTCCTTCTCCCGGGCTTTTCCTCTACTTTCTAAGAAAGTGTGTAATTGACACTTTATTGTGATAGCTCCGTCGTAAAAAACAAGACTGATCATTCTAAGCAAAATATATCTACGCGTCTGAGTAATTTCTTAATACAACTTAACTTGACACTTTAATAACTTTTTTAATTTTATCGTATATTGTAATTTTATACGTTACTGTATTATTATATCATATTACAAGTTATAATTTCAAAGATCTCAACGAGATCAAAATGTGAATTGTAGCAAATACGAGAGAGAGAGAGAAAGAGAGACGAGAAAAGAGTGTATTATTCGGATTCTATGGCCGTCATTATTTCAAACTAACATTTCCCTTTCGGTCACTCGCGGTCAAGCTCGCGCAAAACTCTTGTAAATAAGAAAACGTATGGCTCGTTAAGACGAACCTGGTAAAAGTACTTCTTGCCCGAAGCGATGAGAGGTCAAGTAGTCGTGTCCCTCGCTTGAACAGCCAGTATTAATGAAGACACAACTATATACTATTTTTTTCTGCGAAATAGAAGAATTTTTCAATTTATTTTTTGTTTAAAAATCGCCAAAAAGGTCCTATATTTAATAGTAAATTTTTGAATAACTAATGAATGTTCTTTTTATAGAACAAACCACTTTCTCATTTAATGCATTAGCATGCTAAATAAGTCCATCCGCAAATTTGTATTTTTAGAGAAGAAAAGAAACTTCTCGATTCTCGATTTTGTTATCTTAATCGCACAATTCCATCCGCAATGACCCACTTGCTATATTTCGGGATTACGTTACTATTTTATCTGTAATTCGCGGTAAAATTGACATTTAGGTGCACAAATCCGTGCTTACTACGTCTACTCGTAAGATCGAGATAAAAAAGAAATCCGCGTCTATTCTCGCACATTTGCAGTGAAAAAATCTATCATATGAACAGACATGTTTTAACACGAGCGCTACCGCGGACTCGCATCGGGTTCCACTTTGGCAACCAAAGATTGATACGTTGCCCTCGTGCTCGCTCATGCGAGGGATGATGACAATGTGATATTCCACGTGTCAGCGATCCGATCCTGCGATCCGTCACGCGGACGGCGAGTATATGCGACGAGGTCCTTCTCGTCGTCCTCGTCCCGTGAATCGAGACGGGTGAAAGAAAACCGGGTCAGAAACGTGCGAACGCTCTCGTCCCGAGAGTGTCGAGAGAAAGAGCGTTTCGCGTACGAGAGAAAAGATGGAGAACAGGGTGGATGTTACTGTAGCGGATGCATCCCGTTACTCTTCCCGGTCGACGCTTTTGAAAAATTTCCATCCAACGTGAGACGCCGCGGAAACCATTTCCGAGAGAGAGAGAGAGAGAGAGAGAGAGAGAGAGAGAGAGAGAGACAGGAACGGCTTAAGTATCGTTCACAGTGAAGATCTGTGGCAGAAAAGTTTGGCAGCCCATAAATCCGGAAGGGTTCTCGAAGTTTGCGCGAAGAGGGAATGTGATTCGACGCGTGACTATTCCTTTCTCCTCGTCTCGTTTTTGTTTCAAGGCAAGAGCGATTTTTCGATGAAATCCTTCGGGGAATCGAGAGAACGTTTATCTGAATTTTTCGAATCTTCTTAGAACGCGTTTGATTGCCGTCATCGTTAATGCTTAATCCGAACAACAGAGCTTAAGCGCATTGATTTTATTCCTTCCCTCTCTTCATTTTTCGCAAATATGGACGACAAAAATGCATTACATTAAATCGCGTAATCAAGCTTGAATGAAAAAACGCTTCATTGTTGCCCGGCATAATTATGCCGGGATGAATATTTATGAGAAAAACAGTGATATTTCGCAGATATTTCGTTGAATATTCTATTTTCATAATATTAACGGACAAATGTCTGGTAATAATTTGGCGACAACATTCGCAATAACGCAGTAAATGTATGAAAAAGGTCCCCCGGGGCGGTGCGCGAGAATAAATTTTTTATCGTTCTATGACTTTGACTGTGCATACACATAGCGTTCGTATGTACATATCATTTTTGTTACAATTACTTGACGTAATTCAGTAGCCTGCGCAAGCATTAACAGAAATATAAAACGGTATAATATAATCCTCAACACGCGCGTAACGCACACACTTTTTAAAAAACGGTGAATAGGAAAAAAAAAAAATTCCACAAATTCATATATAATTTTTTGATTTCGAAAGAGAAAATTGAATCATTTCTCGCGCAGTACGGAGAAAAGAAATAACGAACGTACTACAAGGACAGAGCAGAGAGAGGGAGTCGTCTCTCTCTCGGTCGGTAGGATATCATAGATACACCTCTATTCTGTTTTCCCTCGGAAAATCAATATCGGAGGTCGGCAGCGCCTCTCGGGGGTGAGGTGGCTCTCACCGGAGACAAATCTCAGTGTCCGGAAAATCCCCGCCGACTGGCGGCAGAGCAGAACCCCCGTAAAATTGTCTCGCCACGCGTTCTTCGTCGTCTCTCGCGAAGGGACGCAGCTTCGCGAAAGTGACCTACTACGAGGACCGACGTGTCGTCGACGATTACGGGTGAAAGTCGGTACAGAATTGAGAAAGGGGAGCTAACCTCCCCTGACGAGACCTCGTGCGAAAACTTGGGGCACGTTTCCCGTGTGCATGTGTGCATGTGTGTGTTTTGTATCTCGCTGCGCCTGCTCTCGCCATATTGAGGGTAGTCGAGGCGCCACGATCGTAAATTCCGACGCGCGCCACTTTCGACTCGGGCTTCCAAATTCCTTTTCCCTGTTCCTGCATCTCCGCTAGAAAATCTCTCACCTTATATATATATATATATAGATAGATGAATGATCGTTGCAACGTTTTCGGCAGCACAAATATCCGTGCTTGCGCGAAGCGAAATGAGAAAAACCTAGTCACGGCTCCTCCACTGAAGATTCCAGTGGAAACATCGACCATGCGGTCAGACGTATTAACGATCGAGCGCAAGGACGGATATTTGCGCGTCTGCGCTTTTGATCTTTTGCACGAGATTCCACATTTGTATATATATATACATATTTTCGTCGCATCACGTGCTGGCTAATACGTCGTGACTACGAAATATAATTCGCATCACGTGCCCGCTGCGAGAAGCTCGCTTCCTACAAACGAGACAACGCGGTCCACGTTAGACGTTCGTGACTCTCTCTCTCTCTGTCGCGGCTCGCGTACACCGCAGGAAATATTAACTTTAAATTATGTTTCTGTTGACTGAGCAACACGTGACCTGCTCGAGAAATTTTCGTGTGTCCCGCGTTACTACACATGATTTTATACACAGAGTTTCCCCTTTGGAGCACTCCGGACTATCTGGGCCTCTTCTTTGCTCGCGTATCTGCATATGTGTATTTGGATTCAAAATTACTCTCCCGTGCGGTTTCTCTTGCGTTTTGCGAGACAAAGGACGTCGTCTTTATTACGCGTCAAATGCTCTCCCGGAAAATGCATTAACCATTTCGCACGTTATCGAGGAAACGACGAGATCGGCGCCGTTTATCGTCGTGGATCAATTTTCTCCATCAATTTAGCAAGACATATTGTTGTAAATTGAAATACTTGTGTCTCGACATATTTTTTAATTGCTTGTCAAAATTTATAAACAGAAGTGGTGTTGTTCCATAAACAAAGCTTCAGCGGTGACAATAATCGCGCACTGACGTTTCATAAAATATGAGTTATAACCAAAACAATATGAATAATTAACAAGGTATTCGATTTTGATTTATTCAGATTTATTCATCGTGCAATTTGAGAAATAATTATGACAATTAGTATTATCGTGATAAATAATGCACGCGTCAAAGGAAGTTGCAAGTCAATCGTGTATTATCTTTTTGTATATTTATCATTTGATACAAAAAAAGCCTCAAACAACTTTATACATTTTAACATAACAATTTTCGAAAGCATTCAAATAAATTATATTTTATGTTACGTTACTGACTCGTATATTATTGATTTATTATTACGGTTAGTATCAGTCTATTAACTAATACATAAATATCATTCAATTTTCACAATAAATGTCAATAAATTATACAAATAGAGATATTTTACATAAACTGAATATACTGATATAAAATATCACAAAAGAAATCATTTATTTTCATCTCATGAATGTCTTGGACAATGACAGTATACGTGATAATAAATCTTCTTCGATAAAAGTGAGTTTTTTTTAGATTTGTTAGAGTATAAGAGCGAGGGACGTTTTTAATAATCGATATTTCATGAATAATTAGATAAAAGTTGTCAGAGTTTTATCTCGTTGACCGATTTTTCTCATTCGCAAATAGAACATATCAGCATCATATCACAATTCTACGTGGACTATGTTTAAATACTTGATTTATTTTCAAATATAAAATCATATATTATATCAGTTTGCTAAGAGAACGTTTGTCGTGATAGAATAGATAACTCGTTGTCTAGACTTTCTAACGTGTAGTGATGAATTTAATTTGTGACTTAATATAATCAATTGTTATAATAACGATTAAGTTTAAAATGTTTTATACAATTAATTTTCTTAATATATTTATCAGTAACAATATATAAACATTTATTGAATGTGAATAACCAATAATTTGACACAAATCTCATTAATGGATCTCTATACGGAATATAATCCTTACTTTTTTTTTATAAGGCGAGCAAAATATTCGAAATAAATGAAAATGCGCAATCGATAACGACTAAGACAAATAAAAATTTCAGTTAGTGAGCGGAACAAAGTAAATATTAATTATCTGATGATAATGAAATATCGATGAAATAAAACTAGGCCGTTCGGTCGTTATGCGAAAGCAGGAAATTGCTTTTAATCGAATTGTCGAACATTGAAGCGCATGTTATCCTTAATTAAATAATTAAACAACTTTTACATAGTTTATAGTTTTATTAAGTTTGCAGCCGAATAATATTCAATTATGCAGTATATTCGTAAGAGAATATACAATAATTAATAAAACATACATAAGTTCGCTTACGCTGTTTCTCCTCATATATCTCTCTCCTGTGATTACTAATTCATTAATTTCACCCACAATAAAAATGTATTTTATACACCATGATGTAATTTTTAATATTGCATAGCGCATTAATAAGAGTGCTGTATTTAAGAGCAATGCTTATATTATGAAAATTTTTCAAAGACAATCGTTTGCCTAAATTATCTGCCATTATATACTGTTATGTAAACGATTCACCAATTCACACCTTGAAAAAAATTTTGTCGGAGATCGCACGCTTTCAATCTTGCGTGCGAGCAGATTCTAATTTCCAAAATCAACTTCCGTCGTTTCGTCCTTCATAGGCAGGCAGTCGGCTCTCACAAACACGTGTGAGCGATCAAAGCTTTGAAATCTGTTTGAAAGCACGTGGGAATGCTCTTACCTAAATACGCGGTGTTCCTAATGAGCCGACCAAGCAGGAAAAGGAGGAGCTTATTTATACGCCAAATAATTTTCGTGTTTTTACGTTTAACATAATCGCGCGAAAATTCCGATTAACGCATTATGAGTTATGTATATGCATATATAGGAATATTGAGGAACGGTTTGTCCGTAAAGTTTTTAAGAACGATATTGGGTTCTTGTATTTTATTTTATACGTAAAAACAAAGAATTCTAAATATATTCAAAATATGGTAAAAATATCTCTCGTAGGAATATAAACTTAATTATAATTTAGTATAGCGAATAGGTTGAAACTGTGTTAATCGATTTATACACCGAACTGTTATTTTGTACTCGTGAAATATGCTTCAGTTGTTGAAATAGCATTTCGCACTCGCTGATGGTGCGTTATTATTACTATGTTATTTCTACAAATACTAATTATTTATGAATATGCTAATGCAATTTAATTCGACAATTCACTTTTAGGCACAATTATGAAACATTATTATTGGTTTAAATTGCATCGTTATTAATTAAAAATAGATGATGCGACAAAAATTGCCCAGTAAAATATATCGCGTTATCGTATATTTTAAAAAATTAACGTACCGTCGCGAAATGGAGACGAGGAGAAAAACCTCGATCGATAGTGATGCACATCGTACGCAGTCTCGAATTTCCCGGCGCGATAAATCGTTTTTTTTTTTTTTTTTTTTGATCGAGAAGTCCGCGCAATTCGCACGTGGGCCGCCGTGTTGCAGTTGGAAAGCAAGAAATTGGGAAACGGGCGCGACCTCCCTTCGCTTTTTCTCTCTTTCTCTTTCTCCAGTCTTCCGCGCGAAGAGTATACACAATATATACATAAGCCGTAAATAAACGAACACACCCGGTATAACCAGGAACGTTTATAGCGCCCACATACACGGCGCGTATGGAACCTTTATGCACCGCGGCCCGGTAGACACAAACTACTTTAAAGTTGCACGAGTCGAGATCTAGGAGTACGAGCTGCACCTCCGCCTCGCCGATTTCTTCCTGGTATTATATCTCGTGCCACTGCAGCTCGAGACAGAAAAGCGGATAGAAAGCGGCTGTAGAAGATGAGAGAAAGAAAAATGTATAGTGTTCTGGTACAATATTTCTAAGAATAATCAAAGATTGTAATGATGTGAGTATCACGATTAAATTATTCAAAAAAAAAAAAAAAAAAAAAAAGAACGAAACTATAAATAATTAAAAATATTTAATAAAAATAAATTATTGTATATATCGAACTTAATTTTACACAAACAATATTTATGAGAATTAATCGGGCAAATATTTTATGAAAATTCAATAATATTGAACATTTAAGCAATACCGCAGTGAATTAGATAAAATTACGCGATAATTAGATATGTATCGTTAATTAAACGCAACTTTGCGGAACAATACGTTAACGTGAACCGCATGATATTATTGCTCACATAAAAGCTGCATTAATAATGCAATTATTACGTGGCCACGTGGTACGGGAACATTTACGACTTCGCTTTCGCGTGTCATGCTAAATCGAATGATATTTTTAACATAAGTTTTGACCTCTTTAGAAAGGCCGGAATCGAGTGATTAAATAATTGAACGATTGAATGGGGAGAGATTAACAACGCGAATTTATATCGCGCTCTTTTATATCGCGAAGGAGATTTAAACGCGGCGTCTCGCAACAGCGTCGTTAAGCACAGCTCAAATCCGGCAATATAAATTACAAGAAAAATAAAAAAAGCGAAGGAAAAGAAGAGAGGAGAGGAAGGACGGATGGATTCTCTAAAGATTTTATGGGGCGCACGTTTCACGGATTTCCAACAAGCGCAATGTGCGAAAGTAAACGCGTCTCGCGCTCCGCAATTCTTCATTTCACTTCGCATTTTCGAAACAGCACTCGACGGTTTCATCGCGTAACTGCAGTTTCCCCTCGTTTCGTTTTATGATTATGCGACGATGTTGATGCCGAGTATTTCAAACAGCATCGGATATTTCTCTCGAATGACAGATCTTTGACAGTCCCAATCCTCAGTCCAATTATAAAATGTTATTCAAGCTTTCCCTATCTTTCTCTCCTTTTTTCTCTTTTTCTTCTACTGAAACTTGATACTGAAGA